GCCCAGCAGAGGGTCAGGCCAGTGGGAAGCTCCACCATGTGCACAGGGAAAATGCACACACAGCACTGTGGTCTGCACGGCCATGAGGCCCGGAGCTCTCTCCGCTAGGGGGACACAGGGGTCTCAGCAGCAGTCCTGGAGACAGAGAAGGCGGGTGCACGCACTCCAGGTGTCCCTGCAACAAGGTCCCTCACCGCTTGTCCTTGTCCAGCACCACTGCCACTCACTACTGCCACTTCCCCGAGCTCTCCCGCCAGAGCCCAGCAGACATGCTTCCACCGCCGCCCCTTGGTGGCCTCCAAGTTGTCCAGCGTGCTGACCGTCCAGCGTACTGCCCAACCAGCATGGCGGCAATGCTGAGGCTCTCCTCCCACACTTCTGCTCCTGCCTCCCTAACCAGGCCTGTCCTCCTCCAGTCCCACCCTGCCCACCTCTCCGGGCGTAAGTCTGGGACTAGTGATGCCCAGTTGAGGCCGCAGGATGGAGTGCTGGCCTAATACCCCAGGTGCTCATCTGAGAACAGAATGGGCTTATTCTCTGCAACCTTCCAGCATAAAGGAATACAGGACTAGAAGTAGATGGGCAGAGCAGCAATCTGTGTGGGGGAGGAACGCACAGCCACATGTCCCCACATAGGAGAGGACACAGAGGAGCAAGGAAGCTGCTTCACAATGCAGGCCCATGAGCCCAGGGACCCTGACTCTCAGGGCAAAGACAAGCTGGCTGGTGGTGGAAGGGGGAGCTGGGCTGGTGGTGGCTGGGGTCCGTCTGCAGGGGAAGCTGGGTGGTGATGGAAGGGGTCATCTGCAGGGGGAACTGGGTGGTGGCTAGTGGTGGAAGGGGTCATTGGACACTCATAAGTCAAGGCCCCACTGTATAGGACTAGAAATAGATGGGCAGAGCAGCAATCTGTGTGGGGGAGGAACGCACAGCCACATGTCCCCACATAGGAGAGGACACAGAGGAGCAAGGAAGCTGCTTCACAATGCAGGCCCATGAGCCCAGGGACCCTGATTCTCAGGGCAAAGCCAAGCTGGCTGGTGGTGGAAGGGGGGGCTGGGCTGGTGGTGGCTGGGGTCCGTCTGCAGGGGGAGCTGGGTGGTGGATGGGGTCATCTGCAGGGGAGCTGGGTGGTGGTGGATGGGGTCATCTGCAGGGGAAGCTGGGTGGTGGTGGATGGGGTCATCTGCAAGGGGAGTTGGGTGGGGTACAGCCTCTAGCTTAGTGGTTCCCCCACAGGAAGTATGGAGCCCCTGCCTACAAGAGGGATTGAAGGGAAACCGCGGGCAGACTGGGCTCCAAAGGCCGTCCATACCGGCTACAAGGCAGTGGCACAGCAGCCAAGACACAGGCATAGTTCTATTTGTGACTCAGCCCAGGGAAAGATGCCTCTGAGCTAATCCGGGCAGACAGGTGCCCTCACCTTCACAGCCCAGCAGGTCACTGAGCAGCCAGGGTATGGGTCATCGATACGCCTTTCCACATGACCTGCACCTGCCCAGGCCACCAGCCCAGCTCAGGCCTGGAGACTACAAGAGCCATTGTTCCCCTGTAGGAGCAGGCACTGGCCAATGAGGAGGAAGCAAGGCTGAGGAACAACCCAAATCAGAAGAGATGCTGAAGAGGGAGGCTCGGGTAGGGGACAGGCTGAGACAGTCAGTCACCTGCCACCAGGACCCTGGGGCATCTTGACTCCTTGGGGGCTCTATCGGGAGCTGCAACAGCTGTGACAATGTCTCACAGGGAACCATCCAGCAGTGCTGGAGGGAGGGCCATCGGGACCCCCATTCCCAGATGGGCTTCAAAGCTCTGAGCTCAGCAAAGGGAGGGGCCGGCACCTACGATGGGGCTTGGCCTCCCCCTGCACCGCATCCTTGTCTGTGAAAGGGGACAGAGTGGGCCAGCCCCTCACTGACGTGGGAGTACCACTGGGATGACCCCGGCCACCACCAGCCCAGCTCTCCCTGGAGATGACCCCCAGCTACCACCAGTAGTGGGCATGACTGAAGGCCAGTAGGACTTCCAGGCAGGCCCACGAAGCACACTGCCCAGCAGATGCCACGCGCATTTGATGCATGAGGAATTAACGGTCCTGGGAAGCCACGCAGATGCCCCCAAATCCAACGGCCAACAAAGCAGAGCACCGGGACCTCAGCTTGGCTCCTCTGACTGCGAGCTAAAGCTCTGTCCCCTCCACTCCCCCCAAACCGCTCGGGGATACCGGCTGTAGCACAGACGGCCTCTCCTTCAGAGTGTATGCACCAACAGGCAGGGCAGCATGCCAACCTGGGCCAAGAAGGCAGAGCCCGTTCTATGGACAGAAAGCAAACTTGGCCCCACAACCAAGGAGAGAAAGGTCGCAGAGGTGACAGGCAGGAGGGGCGAGAATAGCCGCCACAGGGAACTGTCAGGAAACGGCATTGTCAGCTCTCTAGGGAAGTAACTTCCTCAGCAATTTTTAAAATCCTAGAAGAGTTTTTTGTATGGAATGACAAACAGCTAACCTCTGTAATAGGTAAAGCACTCATTCAAGGTTAAGAAAGGTGATCAGCACTGCCCCAAATACACAGACGAGTCTTAAGAGAATTGGTGAACAAACAAAACCCTTGATCGAATTGGTCACCAAAGAAATTTCTGAACAGGGGGGCAGGTCGGGCTGGAGAGGGTCAATGAGGGGAAAAATAATTATTTTTTGTTGAAAGTATTACATACATCATAAGGGACGTATGTAATACTTTCAACAATAAATAATTATTTTTCAAAAAAAGAAAGAAGCTTCTGAAAAACAAGGACTGCTAGGAATCCCCTCTCAGAGGAAACTGTCATTGTGAAGGTGAGGGAAGGTCACAGCCTAGATGGAGCCTCACAAACACCTTCCTCATTCATTCCCCGTGACTTACCTTCCCACGGCCTGTGCCCTGCAAGGCTATAAACATACTGCTTGTTGCTAAGATGCTACAGAAGCCAAGTTCTCACCACCCCTTTGAGTTTCTCATCACACCCGTTTCTCCTGGGTGAAGTGCACTGCACACATTAATAAGCTGCTTTCCCTTGATCTGTCCTTAGTGAATCTATATCGCAGGATCCCTAGGAGGGGAGAGGGAAAGTGTTTGCTCCCTGCAGTTTCAATGCACAAAGAATGGCAAGGAGAAGCACGTGTATCTCCCCAGTGACGTGAAGAAATTCAGAGCAATGATGCAAACAACATAACCCCACAGAAGATGCTTGATGGAAGTCATACCTGTGAAATAATCACATCTTACAACTCTGAGCTGTTTGCAAACGACAGATGGAAACCTGGAAAATGATACTAAAAACCTGGATGCTGCTGAATTCTCCAACAAGAAATAATTCAATTCACTAGAGAGCCCCAGGAGCACAAAGGCTGTTAAAGCAGTAAGACAAAAAGGACAGCTATTTACAACTTCAAAGATGAGAACGTACAGTCAATTAAACCAATGGAAATCCATGTGCAGGTAAAGTACAGTAGGATTACAGAGACTGAGGCAAACAGCCCTGCCCGGGAGGCCCGAGTGTTCTTAACAAGGTTACACACCTCTCTTATTTCACAGGCCCAGCGGCACATGTGCAGCTCACACCTACGCAGCAGTAGGTTTCTCTCCAGGCACGGTGGTGGTGCACCCACCCAGGCCTTGGGAGCTCACTCCACCTCCAGGGCAATGTGCCGGGGAGCAGAGCTGCTCTCCTCTTCCAGGGAAGCTCAGCCAAAAAGCTCTGGCCAAGTACTGGGCTGGGTCAGAGAAACATGGTAAAGACACCAGGAGAAGGCAACCAGCAAAATCCAAAATGGGAGAAGTGCAGTCAGAAAAATGCCCTCCCCACATCATAAAAACATGAGGGAAAAGGTTGGGAGGGGGCACTTGTTTGCACCCTGATTTTTACAAACAACTTCATGAGGCGATCAAAAAGGTGTGAGCACTGCGTGTATATTTGATAAGAAATTACTGCTAATTTGTTTAGATGTGATAACAGCACTGTAGGTATGCTATTTAAGAAAGAGCCCTTAGAAATAGATACTAAAGAATTCATGAGGGAACCCGTTTGCTTCAAAATAATGCAGTATGTGTGTGTTGAAGATGGGTGCTGGGCACAGGGAATTTCTTTATGCCATTCTATTATAGTATATTTAATCCAAAATGGGAGAAGTGCAGTCAGAAAAATGCACTCCCCACATCATAAAAACATGAGGGAAAGGTTGGGAGGGGCACTTGTTTACACCCTGATTTTTATAAACAACTTGATGAGGCAATCAAAAAGGTGTGAGCACTACCTGTACATTTGATAAGAAATTACTGCTAATTTGTTTAGATGTGATAACAGCACTGTAGGTATGCTATTTAAGAAAGAGCCCTTAGAAATAGATACTAAAGAATTCATGAGGGAACCCGTTTGCTTCAAAATAATGCAGTATGTGTGTGTTGAAGATGGGTGCAGGGCACAGAGAATTTCTTTATGCCATTCTTTCTATTATAGTATATTTTCCAATGGAAAAATATCAAGTGAGGATTAAAAAAACAAAAAACAAAAAGTAGTTAACTGATATGTGCTCTTGCCTACGCATCTGAACAAGTCAAAGCCAGCCAGGCACTGGAGCATGCAAACCCTAAGGTCTCTCACCTCTCCTGATGGAAGCAACACTCCTTGTGTCCAAGTCCAGCTTCTGCACCAAGGCACTGGGGTCTATCTTGGTCCTGGCAAAGATGTCCGTGTTCACAAAAGCCCATTCCTAAGAAGGAAAGAGAGAAGACCAGGTAAGACTTGCGCCATGGCTTTGTGGTGAAATGCAAGGCCCGTCACAAGGCAGGGAGACCCCTGGGTGTGAGCCTCCAGATGCACGAGACTGGCTACCATGGAGGAGGACCTGGAGAAACCAGCCTCGCTCCCCAGGGAGGAGGCCCAGGACCCCCGGGAGCTCAGACTCCAGAGCGCTACGGCAGCACCTCCTGCCCGCCTCACATCACCAGGTGGGCCGTGCTTCTGGTTTAAGAACCATCTTGCACCAGATTCAGGATCTCCTTCCAAACCTCACACCTTCGTACTTGTACAGCCCTCTCCTGTGTCACAGCCCTTCCTGCACCTCACACTGTCTCTCCTAGGTCTGTTTCTGACCTGCATTCGTCCCTCCATCAAAGTTTTAAAACCCTCCACGTCACTCTGCCCATCACACCGTGCTCACCCAGCACCCACTCCCCATGCCCATCTGGCTCATTCCAGGGCCAATCTCCAGGACAGGGGCCTCCAGGGGGACCTCAGCATCCACTCCTGGGAGTCACACACCAAAGGACAGAATGGGGATGATGCAGAACTCGTCTAAGTGCCAAGAAGGTGTCGGGCTGAGTGCGCCCACCTAGCACCTGACAAAGCAGCTCTGGCTGGCTCTCCGGGACTTCTCATGAGCAGGAAACAAGAGAGCTCAGAGACAGCGAGGGAACAGTGCTGGAACGGGGGGACGCAGGGCGGGCGAGGAAGGCCATATCAGCTGACACCTCCCAGCAAAGGGGAGTCCAGGTCACATGCATAAATCTGTACACACTGGTGCTCAACTTCTCTCTACTCCGTCACTTGGACATTTTCTGTAGTGGTAATTTATCTCTCATAACTTCACATTCTGGAGCTTAATATAAAAGGTACTAATGACACATTGACTGTTTTCCACAAATAACCATGTCATTATGTGACTAGAAATCAGAATTGTTTGTCTATTCCATGTTAAAGTTCAATGACCTACCACCCTGCCCCTCTCCCCACCCCATCTTCCAAGAAGGTGAGGGCAGAAAACCAGGACTTCCTTCCCCTGCCCCCCTTATTGATACAAGGTCTATGTACTGCTTTTATTGCGAGTCTTATTCTCTTTTCTCCTATTTGGTTCCTTCATGCCTTTCATATTTCAGGCACACCTATCTTGTAGTCTCTAACAATTCCGTTTTCTGACTTCACAGCAGTCTGGCTTTGATGCTTGCACTGTCTGCTGACTCTCACTTCTGGTGGGTTGCTTCCTTATGATGTCAGCTGCAGTCTGAGTCCAGCAGGATTTTATCTGCTGAGGGAATCCCAGCTGACCTGGCCAACACAGGGCAGGGTGAGGGTGTGGCAGACCATCTCCCCAAAAACCATTTAACTGGAGAAAAGTTTAAGTCTCATTAAGAACAGAAAGAATTTACAGCATATCAGAAACTACCAAAGAAGCTTTATCCCTTCCCCCAGCTCCCAGCCCATGACTATGGTTTCACCAGGGCCAGGGGAGGGGGGTGGGGGGCAGGCTGCCAGCAAGTTCCCTCCACCCCACCCCACCCCACCTTCCAAGAAGGTGAGCACAGAAAACCAGGACTTCCTTCCCCTGCCCCCCCAACCCCTCTTGTTGGGTAGACACTCCACCCTTGGCAGAGCAGGGAAGGTCTAGAACAAGCATGTCAAACTCAAAGGCTAACACAGGCCAAATAAACAAGGCTTAAGTTTATGTGGGCCACAAAAAAAACAAAAGCCTCAATTTTCATAGAAGATTTATTTCGATAGAGACATGCTGAATACAAAGGGCTGAAATAAACGAGTAATCATTAACATAAAATAGAACATTTTAATAAAAATTAATATTTTTTCCTTGACCATTAACTTACCAGACACTACATAACTGCACAAATTAATAAGGGTAATGCAAATAAACCTATTTTTCTTGTTCTCTGAAAGCGAAATATTTCCTGTTGCACACACCAAACAGATCAGTTCAAGACTAACGACGTGGCCATTGGCTGCTAAAATATTCACTGCTAGTATTAGTGGAGAGAAATGGTGCGCCTGCACGTAAGGCGCGTAATGAATGCAACACGCTTATAGTAATCAGTCATTAGCGAACGTTGTAATTCGTTAATAATTATGTATAATAGGATATTATAAAAATTAGGTTATGAAATTTTTATTAAAACGTTTCTTACATACCATTATATTGGCTGGGCCGCCAAAATATTCTTTGTGGGCCACATGCGGCCTCTGGGCCACAGGTTTGACACGCTTGATCTAGAATACTGGGTCCTGACCCAGCTCTGCAGGGTGGAGCTACTTACAAGCCAGGGAGATCAGGGGCCACCCTCCAGCTGCACTCACAGAGGGGCTGTCACCAGGGAGAAGCTGCATTGTCCCTGCCCCCTTCTCTAGTGTGGGCACAGAGGTCCCACCGAGGAGAGGGTCAGGCTCCAAGGAGGGGACTGACTCTATCAGGACAGAAGCCCATGCCTAAGGCTGCTGTGGGTGCGAGAACCATGCCAGGTCCCCAGATAGTCAAGGCCAGTGGGAGCACGGAGGCCTTGTTATCAGTACACCAGAATGACCAAAGGCCGCTCTGGGCATGAGCCTAAACGGAATGTTCAAGGACTCTGAGCCGGGGAATCCTAATCAGACCAAGATACCATGATGGGCGTAAGGACACATGGTACACTGTGCCCTTCAGTAGCCAATGATTGATGTAACTATTGGCATGAAGCCTTCTTTGTCTAAATGGTATAAAAGTAGGTTACTGACCAGTCTAGTCGGCTGAGGCGGGAGTGAGAAGTCTGCTGGAGTATGGGGAGAGCAGCTAGGATGGAGTATGTGAAGAAGTCTGCTGGAGAGAGCAGCTGGGCAGAAGAGACAGGAGAAGCTGCTGGGCCAGAGAGCTCAGGTACCGCTATGAAGTTAGGCAGTGAGTCTCGGAGGCAGCGTGCGGCTGCTCAGATAATAGCTGTAGGTACAGAGACTGATGCTGCTTTATGGGAAAGATATCTGTTCACCAGCCAGTGTCCGGATGCATGCTTGTATGGACTTTGCAGTGAGGACTGTTCTTTTTTTATTATTATTATTTTTATTAATATTTTATTGATTTTTTACAGAGAGGAAGGGAGAGGGATAGAGAGTTAGAAACATCGATGAGAGAGAAACATCGATCAGGCGCCTCCTGCACCACCCCGACTGGGGATGTGCCCGCAACCAAGGTACATGCCCTTGACCAGAATCGAACCCAGGACCCCTCAGTCCGCAGGCCGACGCTCTATCCGCTGAGCCAAACTGGATAGGGCCGTGAGGACTGTTCTTGTCTGGTGGGTATATGGCCACTGGCTTCAGCAATAAAGACTCATTCTTATATACTCACAACCTCTCATGGCTTCTCCGTCTATGACCCGGCATTCTAGGAGGTCCAGCCCCAGGCAGAGGTCTCAGACCCAACACCTGTGACTAGTGAGCAGAGGATAAAGGAGGAACTTGGACTAAGTTCCCAACAGTTAGCATAGTGGGCAGGGTTCGAGAAGAACCAGCCCTGGCGCAGCTGGATAGGAGAATTTAGAAGAATCATGGACTCACAGCTCATGTATTCAACTCAGAGCACCGTGCAGGGCTCTGGTTGTGCCCTAGCAGTGGGACACTAGGGATCTGTGCAGGCTGTGCAGCTCATAGTTGCTGGGGTCGAGCCCCAGCAGGTCCAGGGGTCCCCAAAGGTGTGGACGGAGTCGGCGAAGAAGGAATGACACAGAGGCAGCGTTCAGTTGATCGGCAGCCTTGCCAGGATCTCTAGCCACAATCTCCAGCCAAGTTCTGTGTCCATGTTTTCTTGCTAGGTTCTCCAGCCACATTCTCCAGGTTCTCCAGCCAGTTTCTGTAGCCACGTTCTCTCGCTAGGTTCTCCAGCCAGGTTCGGTTTAGGTTCTCCAGCCAGGTTCGGTCGGTTCTTTCTGCTGGGGAAGGGGTTAAGAGGTTTTATTCCCTCCCTAACTTCAGGGGAAAATCCCTACCTGGGGAAACAACCTTTCTCGGAGAGGTGACCTTGGTTAAAACACATAGTGCCAAGAAGGTGAGCAAACATATTAAGAACAGTATGCCATATATGCCAGGTCCCTTGAAACAGCAAGGATGGACCGGCTCCCGGCACATAGTGCCACAATACTGGCAGCAACCAGCTACACATCAGAGCAAGCAGAGTGTAACAGAGAGAACATCACAAAGACAGCCAAGAGCCCTCCTGGGATCAGAGTCAACCCTGGGGTCCAGGCTGCACCCCCTCAGTAGCAATCTACTCCGAGCCCTTCCCCATCACAACCACCTCTGGATGTGCACAATGGAAAGCATGCTCCAAGCAAACACAATGCAGGGCGGAAGGCCCTGGGCGCAAGGACTTAGGCACAGCTCTGAGCTAGCACTGGCTGAAAGTCACCTGCTCTAGACCAGGAGCACCCCCAGGAGTGCATCCATGGCAGACTGCAAGCCAAGGGGCTCTAGGCCATGATGGTTCAGGGCCGATCAGAGGGAAACTCAAAGCTGCTGCTAGTCCCTGACTGAAGGTGTCAAAAATGTAAACTCCCAAAGGTAATAGCAGCCTACAGGCCCCACGCACATCCAGTGGAGATGGGCCAAAACCTAATGGGACCAAAAGGGCTTTCACACAATCTGACTAGTGATTTATGCTGATCCAGGTAGCCAGGCAAAAAGATTAAAACCATATATATATATATATATGTGTATATATTCAATATGAGAGAAAAACATTGATTGGTTGCCTCCTGAATGCACCTGAACCAGTAATTGAACCCACAACCTGGGTATGTGCCCTGCCTGGGAATCGAACCAGCAACCTTTTGGTGTATAGGATGGCACTCCAACCAATAGACTCACACTGGCCAGAGCCAAACCATTTTTTTCAATGTGAATTTTCAACCACTGTACATAGGCCAATGTACAACTTTATTTCTATTTTCAATGTATCATCTATTGATCTTCAAAATATTCTGAAGGAAACTTTCATAAACACACATGTAATATGACCAATTAATATACTAGTACATTATAGATTCCACAACACTGAAGAAAGGAAAATTTTTAATTTTTCAAAAATGTAGGCCAAGAAAGTTACTGCTATTGGGCATCATATTTAGCCCTTAAATTCTCAGAAGGCAAGTATTCAGCTTGGTTTTTGTTGTTGTTTAGACATCTTTTGCACTGGTTTTGCATAAATGTGCCAATGATACTTTCTCTCTCTCTCTCTCTCTCTCTCTCTCTCTCTCTCTCTCTCTCTCTCTTCTCTC